TGTGTACATAAGGGGTTAACCATTATGAACTCTGGGGGATGGTAGATGTGTACATAAGGAGTTAACCATTATGAAATCTGGGGGATGGTAGATTTGGACATATGGGATTAACCATTATTTACTATGAGGGAATGGTAGATTTGTACATAAAGGGTTAACCATAATGAACTCTGGGAGATGGTAGATTTCTACATAAGGGGTTAACCAATATGAACTCTGGGGGATGGCAGATGTGTACATAAGGGGTTAAACATTATGAACTCTGGGGGATGATAGATGTGTACATAAGGGGTTAACCATTATGAACTCTGGGGAAATGGTAGATGTGTACACAAGGGGTAACCATTATGAATTCTGAGTGAGGTAGATTTGTACATAAGGGGTTAACCATTTTGAAATCTGGGGATGGTAGATGTATACACAAGGGGTAACCATTATGAACTTTGATGGTGGTAGATTTGTACATAAGGGGTTAACCATTTTGAAATCTGGGGATGGTAGATGTGTACACAAGGGGTAACCATTATGAATTCTGAGGGTGGTAGATTTGTACATAAGGGGTTAACCATTTTGAAATCTGGGGATGGTAGATGTGTACATAAGGGGTAACCATTATGAACTCTGATGGTGGTAGACCATTATGAAGTCTGGGTTATGGTAGATGTGTACACAAGGGTTAACCATTATGAACTCTGGGTTATGGTAGATGTGTACACAAGGGTTAACCATTATGAACTCTGGGTTATGGTAGATGTGTACACAAGGGTTAACCATTATGAACTCTGGGTTATGGTAGATGTGTACACAAGGGTTAACCATTATGAACTCTGGGTTATGGTACATAATGATAATGTCAATACTTGTAGATACAATAATGTCAATACTGGTACATACAATAATGTCAATATGGTCCATGTTATAATGTAATCTGTTGCTGTATTCCCACTCATGTTCATGCCATTTTCTTAGCTCTCCGAAAATTACCATGGTATTCCATTCTTGCAGGAAAATAAATTGATTTCTTGGACAACTTTCACAACTTGAATGATATAACGCTTGAAAAGAGTTATAAATAGCAATCTCATTTCTTGTTCTTTATTTGATTCATGATATGAATGACAATAGAATCCACATTAAGCAGCAAGCAGAGCATTTTTTAATATGATCAATTTTTTTAAAATCCTGGTTGGCAGTATTTTAAGATCACAAAAAAAAACTATGAT